TGTTTTCTTTGGCTCTGTTCCCTCAATGTCACATTTTATCAAGTATACACCCGATCAAAATATCTCCCCATGGACAAAAGTGTATACATTTTTTGGGTGCTATGCAATCTAGAATAAGGAATACAAAATGATATACATAATCATTGTAAAATGTACGTGTAACAAATAGGTATATTGTCTAATTATATCTCAATATAACGCTAAAGCTCTAGAATTCGATAAATGTGTATGTGGGTCTCACTCTCATTTTTTTTGGCCAGTTATTTTATGGCCATTTAAAAGCAAAGTCCCCCAAAAGTAATAAATGCACACACTTCTTCACATAAAAAAAACATTTGCATTTATACATTATTTTTTTTGCATTGGAGCCAGTAACTTATTGCAACCGCAATCAGTGGATTTGTGGGTGCAATGGTCTGCCTCCTGCAGATTTTCCTCCCATCCATGTCCAAGAAAATATAAATGGACTAAACAATGCTTGGATTCCATTGAGAACTGCTGCGGTGGCTGATGGGGCTCGTCGTTTCTCCATTCACAGATCCCATCAAAGGGGGCAGAGCCTTGCACAGCCATGCCAAATTTAAAAGGCTAATCCATCATGCAGGTAGAAGAACCCCAGCGTTTCAGGTAGGGGGTTGACCGGTTGTAATGCGACCATGTCTCATGTTATACCCTCAATATGGGTATAACATGAAACATGGTCAGAGAAGTAAACATAACCTTTAAATATATTAGAGCTACCTTTGTTGACTTTACACTTTCTTTACAGCCACCCAATCAATTCTACATGTTGCTAGAGAATGGATACCTACATGTTGCTAGAGAATGGATACCTACATGTTGCTAGAGAATGGATACCTGCTTTTTGGATACGCCAGATAATAGTTCAATTACACATTCTAGTATGCATCAAATATGCTATATGCACTGTGACGGAATAGTATTTTGGACATGTGATGTGCAAAAATAAGATGTCATGTGCAACAATTCGCATTCCTCAGCAACCACCAATCTTGGTTTATCTGGTCCTTAATGTTTTGGGGGTTTCATGCAATCTTAGAGACCTAAAAACTTGCATTTTATCATGTGCAAATAATGAAAAAAATGGCTCCAGCACCAAAAGGGCTAAATGCAGAGTTCAGTAAGGTTAGTTCAGAGAGTTCTATAGTAAAGATTCACACTGTAAGGTATACAAGGCCCCATTCACACTTAGAGCATATGAACGTGTGTTGCATTTGATGCGCATCAGCACATTCATTCATTTCAATGTGCTGCCCGAAGCATGGTAAAGAAGCTCATGCAGTAGCTGCAGCTGCGAGCTTTACATGTTTTTTGAGCGGGTGTTTTTGAGTGAACACGTGGGCAAAACCATGCACTTTGTCTGCCATGTTTGGGGTGCCATTAACCAATAGTGAAGCCGCAAGTGCATTATGTGTTTTCCCGCATTGTGTGAATGTGCGTCAAAGTGTGAACAGTGCCTAATTCAACATGCAAGAAAGGTATGTTAACATCAATGTTAAACTGTAGTTTTCTCTACTGATCAGTTAGAATCATTTTATAAAAATAATCAGTGTTCTAATTTTTATAAAAAGGTTATACAGTCATAAATACACATTGGATCTAAATGTCCAGTGAGGTACAGAGAAAACATTGACTCTACACAGGTATAGCTAATGAAAGTGACCAAATAAAAAGCACCCACTTGTAAAACTAATTAGTTGCAGGGTAATAATGAAACCCTGGTGGCAGCCTTCACTATTTTAACCAAAAGATGAAACCTTCCCCAGCCCAATTAGAAAAACATCTAATAAAACAAGTGATTCATTTCAAGCCATTCTAGTCAAATGCTAGCTTGTGTTATAAGCCCTTTAACTCCAGGTTTAATTTGAAAACAAAAAGACAATATAAGAATGCTTTCAGGATTTATAAAAACCAAGCTGAGAGCACTGCAAAATAATTAAAATTATGAAAATCCATTATGCATCTACAGAACAGATTGCACAGAACATGTAGTATCCAGAGCAGAACATACAGCAACATCAGCGGGCAAAGCACGCATGGGGGAGGAGAGAGTGCTAAACAGCACCAAAGTGATAATTAATTCCCACAATCTGCAGCGGGTAGGACCGAATATCTGCTATTACAGTCTTGCATCCAAAAAACATGTGCTTTGAAGCAATAGTACAAAAGCATACAAGGCAAATTAACCTAAAAGATCAGCTCTAACCTGAAGCTATATACAGTACATTCATTATGCAACAGTAATTAATTAAGACCAATAAACATCATCAGTTTCTGGCAAGAGGTTCTAGGAACCGTAGTCAAGTTCAGCATATAGTACATTTCTGGACACATTTAATGTTTTCAACATGCGGTCCAACAGGGGACAAAAAGGTCCAGTGACCGCTCACCAAAAAGGGAGCAGAAAAAGCAAATAATAATAAAGTATCGGAGGAAAAAGGAAAGACAGTGGGACATAAAGCATAGAAAGGAGGGTAAAGCATGAAGGGAAAGCACATACAAATGCAAACCATCCCAATATTATGGACAGGGAGCGCATTTAGTAGCAAGATCAATGTCTAAGGATACATACCAAAGGCCCCAACACATTCCCAATTTTACTATAGCAGCAGAGGGGTCAACCGGAAATCACTTCATTTCAGTTAGAGAGATTTCTGAAAGCCAAGGTTCCCGTATACAAGGTCCAAGGGCCTCAAGTGGCATTATATTGTTTCCGAGTATCATGCAGATTGCTATAAACATGCTAACATTTACTACTATTAAGGGATGTACCAATACTGATATCAGTGCCAATACTGGGCATTTCCCAGAGTACTCATAAAAATACCCTGATACTCAATGCAGATACTGGCACTTTAGATTTTTAAATGGAAGCAGCTGCCTGAGATCTCGCACTTGCTAGGGACGCCGGCAGCCTTCGTGTGAACCCCAGTGCCTGTTTCAAGCACTGGCTGCACATCTCCTCCTCCTTACTGGGGAACCACGCCGCCCGCACACATGCCCACGAGACCCTCCGGGACCCTGGTGAGACCCCGCACAGCCCACCTGAGACTTTAGAACCCCACCCCGAAGCATCAGAGTATGTAGCTTCATATTATTCTGCATTGCTATATAATGTATTGCTGGAATTTATAGTCCTCTATAGCTAGTGCCATTCTACACTGCTGTATATCGTGTTGCTGAGATTTGTGGCCCTCTACAGCTGGTGGTATTATTCTGCATTGCTGTATAATGAATTGCAAGGATTTGCAGTGCTCTATAGCTGGTGGTATTCTGCATTGCTGTATAATATATTGCTGGGGTTTGTAGTCCTTCTACAGCTTGGAGTCAGTAAAGGTATCGGTAATTGGCATGGGCGAGTACTTGAGGAAAACTATCGGTGCTTGGTCTGGAAAAATTAGTATCAGTGCATCCCTACTAGTATTGTTACCAACCCATTAATACATTCACCATTTATGCATCAACAAGAAACAAGTATGCATACAAAATGCACAAGGTCCTCAAACGAACTTCATATTGTTATCAGAACGTTGAGGTTTTCATCTCTGCTGAAATCAGATGATGCAATGGGGTGTTGCAGCTCTGAGACATCTGACTTTATAGGTTTGATGTAAATCATTCTCTGATCTGATTTTTTTAATAGCCTCTAAATACTCCAGTTTCAACTGTTGCTTGCAATTTAGTTAGAGATTAGGGATGCACCGATACTGGTTTTTCAGTATCGAGTACCGATATTAATTTTTTTTGGTACTCGCTGATACGGAATAGCAATACCAGTGCCGTGTGGCCCGTTTATCAGGAAGCTGGATGGCGCATCATCACCCACTGCCCATTTTCCTGATTGGCTTTACTTCCCGAGGCTGCCTGGCTTTCTGACCAATCGGGAAGCCGGGCGGTGGGTCATGAGGTGCTGCCTGGCTTCCTGATCTGAAAAGTGAAGCTGGCTTTCTAACCAATCAGGAAGTCGGGCAGCACGTCATGACCCGCCTCCCTGATTGGCTAGGAAACCGGCTTCACTTCTTGCTAGGTAGCCTGGCTTCCTGAGGCGGGTCATAATCCGCCGCCTGGCTTCCTGATTGGAATGGAAGTCGGCTCCATTCTCCCTCGGTGCTGCCGGTCAGAGAGTTTTACACATTAATAGCTCTCCAATACTAAAAGTACAATGCTTGCAATCTTCAGCAACTAAATAGATCTCTTTTCTCTTATCTTGGTAGCTATAGGATGAAAGAGGTAAATCAACCTTTCCAACTCAAGCAATGCAGTGTCATAAGCAGCTGCCATCTTCAATTTAAAGCAAATGTCAAGGCAAAAATAAAACAAAACATGTTTAGGACATCTCTGGAATAAGTGCACATGCTTCAAGTACAGAAAAATACCATATAATAGATGTGATCATATCTTCCTGTGTGAGCTGACAACACGTGACTTTCAAGTTCTGAAATCCTAAGTGGTGTCAACCCTGCCTACTTTAGTGTATTACACTTAAACAGATATAAGAAAGCATGCTCAATGGTATATTTACAACATCAAAATGGAGCAAATAAGAGAATTTAATTTAAGGGATTAGATATACACTTTAACGCAGCACACTTATGAGACATCCGTTTTAATGCATTACTTTAACATCCTCTGGAATAGGGCTGAAGCTAACGATTATTTTCATAAATCGTTTAGGTTGCCCGATTATGTTTTCAACGAATCGATTGGTTGTATAAAAACTCTCTCTCATCGATGATAATAGTTGACAACTATTCTCATATTCGATTTAGTCGATTAGTTGTTGCAGTCCTACGCTGGAACATGCAACCTATTCTGCGCCTCTCTGTACACAAACGACAGAGAGACAAGAGGAGAATTATATACTTTACTGAAGAGACTTTCCATTTAAAAAAAAAATAATTTTTTATTTAAAATGAACAGCCACTTTAAAAGACAATCCTCCAAATTATAAAGCAAAACAGAAAAAACTACAAACTTACCTGCACAACGTCACTTCTCACGCCAACTGTGTGCAGCCAATCACTCACTCTAGGATAACCATTTAGCATCTCTGTTCTTTCAGTCTTAGGCACATTAAGTTTGCACTGAAGTTGTTTGCTGATGTAGTTCATCAATTTTGCCTGAAAAAAAATATATAAAAACATCTTAATATGCAGCATCAGCGATTAAAAACACTAAAGGAGAAAAAAACCTAAACATAAGGCTTGCTCCAGGAGAAAAAGGCATTCCAAAAAAATGTATCTTTGGTTAAAGCAAATGTCCATGCAAAAAACTTTACTGGACCTTTACCCCCTTTCACTAAAAATCACATCATCATGAAGCTCTGCATGCTGAAATGAAATCATCTTACATTCATTAGTTCCTGGTTGAGTGAGGCACTGGTGATGTAGCCCTAGTTTCACAGATGCATCCTGGGAAGGCTACATCACCAGTGCCTTTCTGGGAAATCTCATCTGTAAATTGCAAAATCTCAGAAGATCTCAGGAGCAATGCAATTTTCCCTCTTCAGATGTTGTGCACTGTCATATGTTCCACTGTCATATGTTCCAGATAGGCAAAACCAAAGTTCCAAGAAATAAAGAGAAATAGATATCTATTTCTGGCCACTATGAGACGCATTGGGAGGACAAGAAAAATAATGTATATAAAGAATTAAAAGACTGCAATTATATATTGGTATATATTTGTAGATCAGAAATGTTTAGTAATGACAAATAAATCTATGTTGTAATTTTTAAGATAAGTGTGACCTTCCACTTTAGGGCCTGTGCAGACCTGAGCGATCCGGGAAATGCGGTCGTGCACAATTGCAGACAGCGATTGCCGCACGGCCCCATTGATTTCAATCACAGAAAAAAAAAAAAAGGTACATGTAGCTTTTCTTTGCGATACACGTCGCGCGGCTGTTTTAGCTGTGATCGTGTTCAATTGCATGGGCGGAATTGCAGTAGCAAACCGCGTGATCCGCTGGGTGACTGGGGTGCCATTACAAAATAATGGCACTCAGTGCAATTGTCGGTGTTGGGCGAATCCGCGCGGTATCATGCATTCAAGTCTATGGAAGTTGTTCACACCTTTCCGATTTGTCGCACAGTAGAAATGACCTGTCGCGCAAAATGGTGCAAGGGCTATTTTCCGGCGGTTGTCACGCGATTTGGGTCCCATAGACATCTCTATGCATTGACAACTGTGCTTTTTTTCAAAGCAAAATCACAAAAACGCACGTCAACCGCATGAGAACAGCTCAATCGCCTAGTTGTGAACCTAGTCTTAGATTTTCTCCTGCTTTTACCTGGGATGACTGTTACTCTGCTGAGAGCATAACCTCCTGGTTCTTTGGGGAGTGGAAAGAAATCCACTAGGGGGACATAAAGATTGTACTCCTGGGAAGAGGCAGCAGCAAGTTTAGTTCACAGCTGAGCCATGGCTGTCATGGTAGGACAGTGGATATAGGGAAGATCTCCTGGACTGGGCTTGCTGTATTTTTCCGGAAGACGTTTAATTGGACATCCGACCAGCTTTCTCAATTCAGAATGACTTGTACAAAAAATTATCTGGGAATAAATATGGTGAATGTCGCTCCAATCCGCATAATCTGTTAGTCACAACAAGGTGTTGATAGCATTTGCATAATTGGAGTCTATGAGGTGTTATTAACCCAGAGAGAGGTGTTTAGACAGCATTGTATGTGGCAGACAATATATGTCTCACCCCCACCCCCTCCCTCTATTCAAGCTTGGCTTCTCCATTTTTACATAAATGGCCTCTTTCACATCTCTTTTAAACCAGTCCTGCTCCCTGTCTAGGATGCATACTTGACTGTCTTCAAAGAAGTTACCTTTTTCCTTTAGGTTTTGGTATACTGCCGAATCCTGACCAGAGGGTTTGGCTCTTCTACACTGGTGTAGCTGCTGTTAAATGAAATCAACACCTGGTTGTGACTAACAGATTATGTGGATTGGAGCGACATTCACCATATTTATTCCCAGATACTTTTTTGTACAAGTCATTCTGAATTGAGAAAGCTGGTCGGGTGTCCAATGAAACGTCTTCCAGAAAAATACAGCAAGTCCAGTTGCCTTGACTTATTTTTTACAGATATACCATGACCTGGATACATGAGAAACTTCACAGACATCTTTCTGCTCTTGTTCTTATATTATATTTCACTTGTCACTAAACGTGACATTCTTGAATTATGTTATCTATACTGTTTCTAGGGTATTCATATGCCCCCTAGGGCACAGCTGGACAAATCTCAGGTGCCAAATACCCAATGCTCCTTGAAAATTACAGCTGGTGCCTAACATTTGAGGTGTTTTCTAGTTGTCAATGGAGCTGGCTCCTACAAAAAAAAAATAAAAAAATACTGGATTGGACAGACTGGCTCGTGAATTGCATATTAATTTATCCCCCTGCTCTGGGGTATTTATCTTTAGACCTGGTTCACACCTAGGCAGCATCGTTTTTGCGTATTTGTATGAGTGGCTTCAGCGTATGGTTATTTTCACTTTTATGTGCGTTTGCCACATTTTTACACGTGTGACTCACAAAAGGAAGTGCGTTTTGACTGGCAGCTAAAGAAACATTGCAGTCAATGGACGAAAGCACGTGCAAACACATCCGATATTCTGCAACATTCTTTTGCTGCGCATTTCCTAGCGTTTCCATTGAAGTCTATGGGACGGAAAAAACAAGCTTGAAACTGCCAAAAGAAACTCATGTACTTTTTTCTGCATTTGGCGTTTTCCTGCTGGCATTTTGCTGCTCAGGTGTAATCAGGGACCATTGAAAATCATAGGATTTCTTGTGTTGGGCGTTTAAAAGCACTTTTCCTACTGGGTGAGAACCAGGCCTATAGTTTTAAGGTGCTCTTTCATTTTCCATTATTTGCAGGTTGTATACAGCTCCTGTAGTAGTATTAGGTTATTGGCAGGATTTTTTCCACAAACTTTTTGATAGTCATTGACTAGAAACCACATGTACATTATATTGTATCATCTGATATTCACTACAGTGTTCTATTTGGAGAACCCTATTTAACTTTGACATTACATTTTACCAGTTGCATGCTTCTGATACACAAGCAAGAGATTTAGGCATTACTTCAGCATTAGATTTAGGCAATATAATATATCTTACAAGGAGAACTATGAACCTCATAGTTCTAGCCGACTTGTGACAATGAGACCTCACAGGTCGGCTCAGTAGATCGGGAAGTGAGCGAACACATACCGGTGTTCGCTCACTTCTCGATCCTGTCACGGCTCTCTGCTGTGACAGGGGAGGGGCTGGATTCCCCCCTCACCGCTCCGATCCTCCAGCGCTGACTGGCGGAACGGACGGGGGAGGGGACGGATACAGCTGGCTCTGCCTCTACATAGGCAGAGACAGCTGTCACTCACGCAGCTGAGTGGATCCAGACATAATTGTCGGGATCTGCTTCAGCTGCGGCGTCTCAGTATACCGCGAGCTGTAGCTCGCGGTATACTGAGCTTAGGGTGACGGGAGGACGCTGGTTTGTGTCCTCCCGTTACCCTAAGGAGAACTATGGAGAAAAGACCTAACCCCATAGTTCTCCTTTAACTTTTCCTTTTTGGCATCATTAGATAAAGCCTTGTTTCTGAATAATAAGAAATGCATTAAATGCAGCCTAATGACTTGCTACATTGTAATTATTAAATCGACATTTGTCTGCTAAGCGGTTAAGCCAAGGACCTAAGAAGACCCATTTTAACTCACAATATGCATTCTGGTGCTCACAGCCATCAACAAAATACATCCTTTAATTTTCTAGCCATCACGGCCAAAATTGCAGCAACTGGTAGGTTGCTATTCACAACAGCAGATATGTATTAGAATATATTTTATGCATGTTGCTTTAAAATTAATACTATCCACCTGAAAGTTGTTTTTGTTGTTACAGTGTTGTTTAAGACAATTCACTTTCTTACTAAAAAAACTGGGCTCATCTTTTTTGCTTCCTTTTGAAAAAAAATAGTTTGCAATGAAATGAAAGAGTCCACAAAAAAAGTGAGCTCACAAATCAGTGTAAAATCCAGTGTACCCATCGCACTCCTGACCGATTAATACCCTTAGAGTTGGGTGGGTGTCAAAGTGACTGTAGATGCCTCTGCAATCCAAGATAAGTGTATGTATAAAAAGTCACTCGCACTCCAATAGAATTTCACGTCAAAAACGGTTTATTGCAGCCTAATGACTTGCCTAATGAATTTCACGTCAAAAACGGTTTATTGACTCGATTGCCATCACATCATATGGCATATTATCATATGATGTGATAGCAATCGAGTTACCGGTGTTCGCTCACTTCTCGATCCTGTCACGGCTCTCTGCTGTGACAGGGGAGGGGCTGGATTCCCCCCTCACCGCTCCGATCCTCCAGCGCTGACTGGCGGAACGGACGGGGGAGGGGACGGATACAGCTGGCTCTGCCTCTACATAGGCAGAGACAGCTGTCACTCACGCAGCTGAGTGGATCCAGACATAATTGTCGGGATCTGCTTCAGCTGCGGCGTCTCAGTATACCGCGAGCTGTAGCTCGCGGTATACTGAGCTTAGGGTGACGGGAGGACGCTGGTTTGTGTCCTCCCGTTACCCTAAGGAGAACTATGGAGAAAAGACCTAACCCCATAGTTCTCCTTTAACTTTTCCTTTTTGGCATCATTAGATAAAGCCTTGTTTCTGAATAATAAGAAATGCATTAAATGCAGCCTAATGACTTGCTACATTGTAATTATTAAATCGACATTTGTCTGCTAAGCGGTTAAGCCAAGGACCTAAGAAGACCCATTTTAACTCACAATATGCATTCTGGTGCTCACAGCCATCAACAAAATACATCCTTTAATTTTCTAGCCATCACGGCCAAAATTGCAGCAACTGGTAGGTTGCTATTCACAACAGCAGATATGTATTAGAATATATTTTATGCATGTTGCTTTAAAATTAATACTATCCACCTGAAAGTTGTTTTTGTTGTTACAGTGTTGTTTAAGACAATTCACTTTCTTACTAAAAAAACTGGGCTCATCTTTTTTGCTTCCTTTTGAAAAAAAATAGTTTGCAATGAAATGAAAGAGTCCACAAAAAAAGTGAG